GAGGTAATGAAAGAGGGGCTGGGTAGGTGGGGTATCCTTGAGGTGTATGTGGATCTGAAGTGCCTTCAATCCCCGCTGATAGAGATAGCCGGAGCTGGCGGTTACCTCCAAGGTGACCGGGGGGATCTGATGACCCCCGGCTTCCCAGAGCAGAACTACCCCAACGGAGCACTTTACCAGGTAAGAGACACAATACTGTCAAATCAAATGTGACAGCTACATGGTATCTGAGGAAGCTTTTATCTAAGGATGTCAGGTTGTAGTGAAGCATGCTCAGTTTTCACTCATAGGGGTAAATCATATTACATTTGCTTGCTTCAGCGATAAATCTTTTTTTCAGCTTAAGGTATAACAAACATAGCGATCTGTAGGCGAGTGGATCTATAAATTATTCTTATATTACTGAAATTACTCTGACATATACATTTCCAAATATTCTACCAGTTTCGGACATGGCCAAAACCTGACTTGGAATATAAAAAACAATATTGTGTTTTTATTTAATCTTTGAAAAAAAATTATGTTTGTTAAGAAGAAGAAGATGGACCTTTATTAATTGAATTAGTCTGATCACCGATGAAGTCAACAAACGCTGTCAAGATGTTTAAATCCTTAGCTATTGGATTTCACTTTGAGGTGTGAAATCTTTAAGTTTGTTTGAACAGCAAGGAAATCATTTTGAACACACTGTGGACAATATAGTTCATGTAGAAGAAAGACAAAAAAAACCTTTGTGTTTAACTCAAGAATAATCTTCTTCGTTTGTGAAATTAGGTGAATATTCAGTTTCCACTCTGTCGTACACACACATGCGTTTTTTTTAATACAGGTACATACAGTACACACTTTTTACATCATACATATGCACACATGCACATGCAGTTGAGAGGTCAGAGCGGAGGCAGCCAGTCTAGCTGGCTCAGTTGGGGGTTAGGTGCCTTGCTCAAGGGCACTTCGGCAGTGGCCAAGGAGGTGAACTGGCTCCTCTCCAGTATCAGTCCACACTCCGTGTTTTTGGTCCGATCGGGACGTGAACCGGCAGCCCTTCGGTCCAAAGTCCAATTCCCTACAGACTGAACCACTGCCGCCTTAATAAGTCCTATTCAGGTTTCAAGCAGCTTTTACTTATTCACCTAATTTCACAAAAGAAGAAGATTATTCTTGAGTTAAACACACACACACAAGGTTTTTTTTTATCTTTCTTCTACATGAATCATATTGTACACAGTGTGTTCAAAATGATTTCCTTGCTGTTCAAACAAACTTGAAGATTTCACATCAGCATCTCAAAGTGAAATCCAATAGCTAAGGATTTAAACATCTTGACAGTGTTTGTTGACTTCATCGCTGATCAGACTAATTCAATCAAAGTCCATTTCTATGTCAGGCTTTGCACGCTGGGGAGGGTCGATGAGTCATATGCTGTCGTTTAGCTACCGTGATGATTTCATCTTGCTTCGTTTTAGCCTGACAGGTCACCACCTGGCCGAAACCAGAGCAGTGATTAAATTAGCTATGATGTATCAAAATGCAGCTCACGATGTAACCAGGTTTAAAAACAGAAATGAGGGTGATCCATCTACAATTTGCAGGAAATGATGTGTGTTTATTCTTTATTTCTACGTCGATCAGTGGAAGATTACGGTGCCTGAAGGCGAGAGGGTTCGACTGACCTTTACCTCCTTTGACCTGGTCCCTGAGGTCTGTGGAGACTTTATTCAGGTCTACGACGGGGACAAGGCCGGCTCTTCTCTACTCAGTAAGCATGACATTATACATGTATCCAGTATGCAATGAGGATTACAAAAGCTTTGCATGAATAAGATTGACAGGGGTTTTAAATCAGGCCCTAAAAGTCTATGTAAATTGTTAGATGTAATTCCCCCCTTTTTTCCACCAGTTATTTTTACTTTGCTTTGAAAGATCTGCCTTTTATTTGTCATAAATTGCTGTTACTGTATCAAACTTTAGCAATTTAGTTTATTTTATTCCTGTTTCAAGGATTTGCTGTATGTGCCGTACTGTTGTTTGTAAGTTTGTTGTGTTATACTGTATACCACAATATCTTCACAAATCAGCACGCTATGTCAAAGCTGGGTTATTATAATGCAAAGGAATGTCATAGGATTTAAGTTTAGACTGTCGCCTTCCCCTCGTTCAACATTAGCAATGTCAACTTTGCGGGCCCATGAATAAAAGATGTGCTCAATTAAAAGTGTGAGACTTGTTAGAATGAGGTTCTGGGGTCTATTTTAAACTTAATGAATGAAAGTCTCTCTGTTGCATTAATTCATTGTAAATTATCTAACTTGAAATGTAGGGATGTGTTCTGTCATTGCACAAGCCTCTGTGATTATCATTCTCTTTTTAACTCTTTAATAAACATATAATCCATCAAAGGTAAATTCTGTGGGGGGACGATGCCGAAGCCAGTTCAGACCAGCGGCAACACAATGGTGCTCCGCTTCAAAACGGACAACAGTTTGACCTCTAAAGGGTTCAGAGCGACGTTCACCAAGTCCAGCCTCCCACCTGTTTCTACCACCACAACCAAACCCTCAACCACAACCACTCAAACACCTCCACCTTCCACAACTTCTGGTAAGCATTCACCCCAAAATGTTATGTTTACTTTTTCCTCAACGCTTAAAATAAACCACCCATATGTACTCATAATTCAATGATCAACCTAACCTTTCCTGCGTGTCTATATTTGGATTTGAGTTTAAATTAGGGCGGTTGAATTATACCGGTATAGATGATAATGGTCATATTAAAAAATAAATGTTGATATAGTTTTAAAGGGGCCCTATTATCTTTTTGGGGGTTTTCCCATTCCAATAGTGTTTTATATTGTTTTGTGTGCATGTCAATGGTCTGCAATGGCCAAAATCCCAAAGTTCCCTCCAGATGAAGTTGTTTACTTTCGGGACATAATGACATCACTACGTAACATTCGCTCTTATATTGGCTAGCACTACAACACATTGTATTGGATATGCTAAGGGTGGGGGTGGACATCTCTAGGCGGTTGACCAATCACGACCGATCTGGTCAGCTAACCAATCAGAGCAGACTGGGCTCTGGTTTTAGACAGAGGGTGAATGGCAGTAAGAGAAAAATACAGACCTTTTTGAACATTAAAGCAGGTCATGTCACCAAAGAGGCACAAAATCTAATATTTGAATGTAAAAATGTGTCTAATAGAGCCCCTTTAATTAGAAAGATATGATCAAATAATCCAGCGCCTAAATGTGTACCCTCCACATTCCTACACTCATATTTTATTGTGGTATTCCTAGTTGAAATATACAACAGCAGATATATTTAATTTTCTCATTAACAATTAACATCATCAGTATAAATGTTGCTTAACCAACCTCTCAAATCAAATGTCAAAAACAGCTCTCATTATTTTTTGTTGACTTCCGAAATACTAATCCAAGCTTTACACTGTTGCACAATGAACTATAATATCATTTCCTCTGTGCTCAGTTGATCTATGAGGGTTGTTTACGGGCCAACGAGAGCTTGTTGATACACCTTATATAACTGTCATGCCTCGACGTGCATTTTCCCCTGCAGCTCTAATCAAGCGACAGCTACCAAATAAAGACAAATGCACGTAGCTCTGTGCGAAGGAGTGGGGAGATCCCCCTGGGGTTTATTTATTCATCACTGTATTTAAGCCATTGGCAGACAGACTGCTTCTCTCCAGTGACTAATTAAGGTACTACATAATGATCTTGTTAACGGGGTTAGTTTTGTATCAAAGCAAGCTGGTCCCGGCCAACTGTTAAACCGAGCGGGAATAATCACTCTTTAAGATGCTCGGACAGAAAACACAGCTTTTGTTTTCTGTTAATTTTCAGGAGGTGATGGTCCAGTCATTATTCAGGGGCGCAAAGGAGAGATCCATTCCCCGGGTTATCCAAATGCATATCCTGCTCATCAAAAGACCTCCTGGAAGATATCTGTGCCCAAAGGATTCCTGGTAAAACTGCAGTTCACTGACATGGCCATCACAGGAGAGATTGGACAATGCAAGGAGGACAAACTGGTCATCACAGATAACTACAGCACATTAGGTGAGCCAGGACTTCATCTTTCACTCAATTACCCAAGCTTTTTTTCTCTCTTGTTGTTCTTATCTTTTATAATGGTTTGTAAGTTGTACATCCTTATCTGTTTGCCTTTAGTTTACTGTTTTGACTCCCAAATCCAGCCCATATCACTTTAGAAAACCGGTGCTCTATCGGACAAATCTGTATCTTGTGAAGCCTGAATATCAGCCCCTGCAGAGTGAAAGCTATAAACTCCACTTCTTCTACAATTATACTTCGACTGACAACAATTAGGCCTCTTCGAAAACGGAAAGTGACTTGAAATGTGACAATGAATCCACAGATAATCTAAACTACCATATATCTGCATGCAAATGTAGATACATCCATGAAAAAACAGCTTGCAAAATATAAAAAGTGTTTGTTCCATGCAGTTTATGTTAAAATGCACTGCTAAGAGTCTTATTTTATTATGCTATATTATATTAGCAATACATATGAGAACTCTGACTTGTGTTTGTTGCACCTTGCTGGAGTAACAGCTCGTGTACAACAGTTTCTGCCCCCTGCTGAAAAACTGTTGATTATGATCTTTGCTAACACCTCAGCCAACTAAATTACCTCTCATTATTCACTTCACTCCCTGCAGTGATACCGCTTTATCTGTTGCTGAGTAACAATCAAACAAAGATACAAAAGGCGATAAGGAGGGTTTTTTTTATATGTGAACTGAAAAGAGAAATGAATAGCAACAAGGGGTCTGTTTGAAAACCCGATCAGTTTAAAAAATGTGATCCAAAGATCCCTGAAAGCAAGACTATGTCATTTATGAGAATGGCACAATAATCATTGGCTAATGTTATTCAAAATGTTTATTTAGCTGTAGAAATAACTGGCATCTTGCATTTGAATCAAGCTGTAAAGTGAATAAAATGTGGAAGTGCATTTTTAGTCTTCAAGTCTTCTTTGGCCACGTCAAACTTAAAGGTGGGGTAGGTAATTCACTTCAGAAACATTTTTTGTTATATTCCATGGAATGCTCTTAACATCCCAATAGCAATGAATACATTAAATGCTTTGACAATAAATACATAAAGAAATGTGTGGAAGCCGTGGCGCTGTACGACCAATCATCTGATCCGGCCCGGCTAAAGTAACTGGATGGCCTACCTGCCTGTCAGCCTTCCATCAGTGCACAATCTTATCTCGTGCCCTCATTGGTCATGTGCGCATTCGTGTGTGTTGGAGGAGGGGCTCTGTAAGGAAGTGGCAGATTTTTTTCGGCTGCGTACTTTCAAATTCTAGCGCACTCGAGCTGGTTTCTCCATTCTTACCTACCTTACCTTTAACTTTGTAAATAATGGTCCTATTAAAAGTACATTGGCGACAAGTCAAGGCATGCTTTAGGACATTGATCCCTTGTTACTACCGGTCTAGCTATCACTGTTGTTCAGTTTGGGTGTTTCAGGTCATCGTCTTTAAACTTGAACACTTTCACTGTGTGTTTTCAGTCCCTGAAAGTTAACTTGAAAGACTTTGGTCGGCCTAAATATATTTGGCTATGCTTATCTTAACCCCCTCAGGTCAATTATAGTTCCCAAATACGAAAATGGCGACGGCAAAAATACCAAACTTGAGGCTTCAAAACGTAGTCCACAAACCAATAGGTCACTTTATGGTGACAACGTCCACTTGTTCTTTACAGTCTATGATTTTATTTGCATTACATATCTGTTAAAAACAGTACCAGTTTGGGGTTGGGCTTCTTTTGTGTTCATGCGCTCTTGGTAAGAACATTGTGTTCTGTATCTGATGAAGTCACACTCACAGAGAGCAAAGTCGACTTTACTTGTCAGTGTCCTTGTGTTCCCATCCATCCACCGTTCTCATCCTCACTAATATACGGGGCTTACAGTATTCACCACTCTAATCTCTTATCCGTCTTGGAACCATCACTTATATTGCTGACTCTACATCCTCCATTTACCTCCATCTTTAACCTCCGCCCTCCCTCTCCCTCAGGCACACACTGTGGCTACCTTCTCCCCCCCTTGGTGGTCAGTGCCAGTGACACAATATCTGTCAGCTTCACGTCGGACAGTCGCCTCACAGACCGAGGGTTCTCTGCGAAATGGGAAGCTGTGTATCCTGAGGATATTGCAGGTACCAAGGACTTACACACACATGAAGACACACATAGAGACACCTGAGGCACACAGTGCTGAGGCAGCTCAACACCTCGTTATGATCATAAACCTCACACCTCTGTCACATATTTACAAGCATTGTGTAAGCAGTGTGAAGAATGTGAAAGCACAGGTCAGAGTACAGTGTGAAGCATTATATAGGAAATGTGTAATTCAACAGAACGTGAAACGTATGTGATGCGGAGAGAGTTTGCAGATTTTTCAACTCTTGTCCCTGGTTAGGCTTTTAAATGTACTTTGTAATTCAAATATAGAGCATGCAGGATAATAAAATCACGCTACACATTGAATGTAGGAATACAATAGACACAAGAAACACAATGCCGAAATACAAAAGCATATTTCTTTGGTGATTTACAGTAAATGTGTTTAAAATTGGTCGAATCTGGTTTGCTTTGGGCCAAGATACAGAGGTGAACTTAAATCTGTAAAAAAGTAAATTAGCAGATGATGAACCTATAAAAATGCATAACCGCAGTGTCCAGAAGATGAACCCTAATCACTTTGACGACCCTGTGACTTCATCTAGGAACACCAATGGGTTTAATACTGTTTCTTGAACTTCTGTTTTTATATTGTCATGCTGCAATTTTTTACTCCAAACTATTTCTGTCAATGTTTCAAGGAAGATACTGTAATTCATCTACATTAATCTCATTACAACCAAGCATTAATTACTCCCTCGTCTTTTTGCAGAGATCCAGGGCTGTGGCCTTTTTTCCAGAGCGCGAACAGGAGTTATTAAGTCCCAGAACTGGCCAGTGAACTACAAAGCCAACGCAGATTGCATGTGGAACATCGAAGCACCTTTGAATAAAAGAATCACCCTGCAGTTTACCCACTTTGACCTGGAAGCCAAAGATTTCCTATCGTCCAAATGCTATGATAACATAGTAGTGTTCGACATGAATATAATTACTAACGCGCTCATTCAAACACATGGTACGTTTATTTGTAAAATCACAACGTCATCCCAAAACCATTTATCATTTTTATCACATTGGAATCAAAGTAATGCCAAGTCAAAAATGTATTCAACCAAATTAAATCCTTAGTAACAAAACTGTTACTGTGTCTTCTCCAGTGTATTGTATTAGCTCTGTGTCACTTTATTGGTAATGAAAAATATGCTTTCAATACATTTTAGGTCCATTTTGTGGGACTAAGCTGCCTGCAACTATCCTGACAAAAGGCACAAGGCTGGTGATCCGTTTCCATTCAGACTTGTTTACCGAGTCTAAAGGCTTCAGGGCCTACTGGACAACAGACCCCAGTTTGCCTGCTCCCACTGAGCCACCAGTACCAGCCAACCCCTGGGATGACATCGCCATAGGTAGAGTATCTATTTCAGCCTCATAAAGCTACAGTAATATTAACAGAGCCTTTTAGACTCTTTTACCGCATTGTTTTGGTTTCTGGTTGCTCTAATCCAGTGCTTCTCAAACTTTTTTCAGTCATGTACCCTCTTTGAAACATTTTCTCAGCCAAGTACCCCCTGACCGACCCCGAAAATGTTTGATCGAAAAAGCCTATACAAATAATTCCAATATAGTGATGTTCCCTCAGTGTGTGATTTATTAACTCCTTTACAACAAACTAAGGATATTTTCATTTTATGCATGAAAAAAGAAAAAAAATGTAAACTGATTTTTCAAAGGAGTTTTTCAACTGAAGTAATATCTGTTTAACAAATCAATGAACAAAATGATATATTATGCAAAACTATATAATACAATACACCAATTTGATATGTTTATATGAGGACCCCCTTGGTGGTTCTAATAATATTTTATATAAAATTGTGTTTTCTATTTAACTTATTGTACTAAGATTATTTTTGTAATCATGCATGATATTTTTTTAATTAACTTTTTTTTTGTTTTTTTAAATCTCACGTACCCCCTGCAGTACCCCAACGTACCTCTAAGGGTCCGCGTACCCCCATTTGAGAATCACTGCTCTAATCAACCTCTTTACCAAACACAGCTGGCAGCTTTCATCTCAAAAGCTTTGATGAACTGATGTTACTATATTTACTCCGCACCAAACAGCAGACAGATAAAGTTAGCAACTAGCGAGTGAACATACTGTTCCTTAGCATTTAGCTGCAGGTCTGCGTGGATATTTTGTCACCCACAATTCTATATTGAAGCAGGATATCAGACACAAAAAAACACATTTAGTATGTCCCAAAAGATAGTACAGTATGTCAATATGCAAATAATATATCTGGATGTTCTCCTGCATCTGGTTGCACTTTGCAGTATCGAAGCCAGCATACTTTTCTGGTTATCCTGACCTATAGCCTTTGCACCGGAGATATATGAGCTAGAGGTCCAAAGTTCAAGGTCCAATGTTATGCTAACTGCGTGCAACAGTACTTACTCTGTAAAGCCAGCTGCAGCACATACTGTACTCAAATAAAAAATCAGCCATTGTTTTTCTGATCTTTAACCTTGCCCCCAAGTGGCCAAAAATCTAAGAAGGCCTTTGGTGCAGCATAATCAAGCTAGTTCCAGCATAATTTCCTTTGTTATGTAAACCCTTTTACATTACATTTCATGGACTGAGCTACTAATTCATTAATTAACAACAGCAGACTCATTATACAGAAAATAATAGTTAGTTGCATGTGTTTTATGTGCTAAATGTGAAATATTATATTTTATATCTATCATTTAACTTAACGTTTGGATCCCCTGATCTCTCCAGTTATGTTATACTGTCTCTGGTCAGCAGAGCTGTATATTTAGTCTCAATGACCAACATTTAGTTTCAACAGCTTCTTAGAAACTGCACAGAGACCTTCTTTATATTTATCTGATTTACGCTTCCTTCCATCTCCCCCTTGCTGTGCTCAGATGAGCAGTAAAACAAGGTGTTATCATGTGCTGAGAGCACAATGGGAAGTGTCCTGGTGCTTTACTTTTTCTTCTTGTAGGCTGTCAACCAATCCTCATTCTCCATGCAGCGTGAGCCCCAGGTGGCCCGGGCCATTTGCTGAAATAGAGTTGTACAGATGGTCTCTGCTCTGCTGCCTCTGGGTTTCATTTCCACACAGACTCTTACTAGAGATTCCCTGCGTGTTCAGCAAATAAAGACACATAGACCAAGAGAGAGAAGGGGGAAATGTGGGTGCTTTGAACAACTTGTCAACTGCTTTTACGACCAAAGGAAACTTGTTCTGATGTAATGATGTCAAAGAGCCTGAAAAAGCTGATTTCTTTTTTTCAAAAGTCCAATTCAGGAGCCATTTTGTGTTTGCAGCAGTAGCATGGTAGCCTATTATGTTTGCATGATAACACACTAAATTAATACATTTCTGCACACTAGTAGATTAGTGAAAGCCAAAAATGAGGGACAGCACTGTCAGCCTGGTGTGATTTGAAAAAGTGTTTACACAAATAGGAACAGCTGTAGAGCAGAAGTGCCAGTGATTGGAAGCCACAGTACTATCTGTAAGCTGCAGATATGTTCTCTATGCAGGCTTTGTTGATACACAATCAACACCACAAACAAATGAATACATGCACAGACAACCAGACAAAGGATAGATTACAATGTTGTATTTCCTATTTCCTAGATTGGAGTAGATGTGGGATACCAGCCACCCCTCCTTCTGTTACGTCTCGCATTGTGAACGGAGAGCCCGCCACGCCTCACTCCTGGCCCTGGCAAGTGTCCATGCAGGTAAAAGTCTGACGTAATAAAAGCAGAGATCTTGCATCAAGATTAATTAATTTACAGCATGTAATATCAGTGAATACAAAAGGGCATGTTCTAGTACAGCAGGTTATATTGATAATTTATAATTAGGTATGGCATTTTTCCATACCTCCTCCTTTCTTTATCTCTCATTAATAATTGACTGATTGCACTGATATGTGTTTCCAAATCTGACATTATTACATTGTGAGTTTGCAAATGTTTTTGTTTTTTTCAGGTCTGGCCGGCCAGTCGCCCAGAACCTACTTTCTTCCACACCTGTGGTGGTACTCTGATTCATAAGAACTGGGTCATGACAGCAGCCCACTGCTTCATAAAGTAAATGTTCACTTTAATCTATATCACATGAACAATATGTTTACAGGAATGTTAAAGCTGAAGCTCCCATTGAATTGCTTTTCTGTAAAGATTTTCTCAAACTTCCAGGCTTTTCTAATTGCAGAAGGGAGTTGCAGTTGCCTGTGCTTTTACCTCAGGCTTCAAGTGCAAAAGCAATGCTTGTTAGAGATTCCTCAATGCCGTGGCTAATGATCTACTGTAGAGATACTGGTGCAGTAAGGTGCCTTTAGGGACTATATATATAGATTCTGGCTGTGAGCAAGGATGAATGCAAGGTTACGAACGTAAGTCAGTGTCCAAGAAAGTGAAATGGGGAGATATATTATGCGTTTTGCAATTTTAACTTTCCTGTATTGTGTTATAAGTGTGTGTAAATGTTCTGACATGGCTTAAATGCCCAAATCTTTCTCGCACAATCTCCCCCCGGCCTGAAATGCCTCCATTGGACTCCTTTGTTTACTTCCGTAACATAGTGACATCACCAGTTCCATACAAATACATTTAATTTCAAATCATATGATACTGTTAATTTTGTATGCAATTATTTAAGTTTCCTGTGAAGCATGTTTTGGTCCATAGACATGTATCTCAAGCTGCCCAGTATTTTATTATAATTTGTCAGGTATTGCTATTGATTAATCTTCTGATTTCCTCCCCAGCTATGCGGACGAGCTGCAGCGCTGGAGCATGTGCCTTGGCAAACACAACCTGACCTTCACAGAGCCGAGTCAGCGCTGCTTTAATGTGACTGGTATCTATCGCCACGAGGGCTTCAAGTATCCCACAGTGCCCACGGTGGAGTTTGACATTGCCCTGGTCAGGTTGGATGGAGATGTGACCCCCAGTAATGAGATCTCCTTCGCCTGCCTTCCCTCCGTGGAGGAAGTCCTGCCTGCAACCAAGAAGTGCTACGCCACCGGCTGGGGAGATGAGACCGGTGCTGTTCCTGCTTCCTGCTCTTGATTTATTTACTTAATTTATACAATAATACACAACCTGAGGGGCATTATTGAATGTACCTAAGGACATTTACATAATTAATGTCTGTACTTTTACTGCCCTATATTTTGGAAGCCAATAATATTAATAATTCACCACATATATATGACAACAAACCCTAGAGGTCACTTTATCGATTATCGATACAATATATAACAAACTAATAGGTTATTATGGTTTATTATGGATGGAGATAAAACTATTAATCCTGTGGTGAAATTCGGCAGATCAAAATAGCTATATTTGATGTAACCCCCATGCTGTTCCTTATGCCTTGAATGCTTAACATAGAAAATGTACCAGCAGTATACATACCACCTTTGCCAATGATAATACAATAGTGTAATATGTTTTTGTTAATGCTACATAATGATTACTATTGTTTGTTTCACTTAAAGTATGTTATGACACTTTTGAACTTTTAAGAAAGATTTTAAATGCAGGACTTTTAGTTTTGAGAAATGATTGTTGCTATGTATGTTTTGCTACTTTTGTACTGTTCAGGAGCCAACCCTGTGGACCTATCATGCTATATTTGAATAATATAGTGTAGGACCATACCTATATAAGGCATATTTATACTTTTTATTTTTCAAAATACCAAACAGATCATGCATTTTAGCCACTCCTCATTTCGCTGAATTTAACACTGTCTTTGCATGGGCTGATTCTGTGAGAACAGCACCATCTACAGGCCTGCCATATACAGCGTCTCCAGCGCTTTCGAACGGCAATGTCCGTGGCTGTCTCCTCCTGATTGGTGGAGTTGGCCCAATAGCCGTAGCGCCACTACTGTGACGTCACAGAAGTGTTCAAATCTGGATCAGTCTGTATTAGATTAGTTGCAGCCCCTTTTTAAGAGATTTGGGTATGGAGGAAAAGAGAGAGGGTTGTGTTTTCTGACACTTGGTGAGTTCCCTGGAACACCGGGGACACATATTCATGTAGAAAAGACGTACAAAAGTGCATTTTGCATGATAGGTCACCTTTAAAGGAATCATACTTTATGTTTAAAAAAAGAGCATTTTTTTGTTCCTCAATGGCGCTGATTTCTTCCCACAAGGCACTAGTTTACATGCATGATCAAAATATATCAGAGGAAAAGATCATTACTGCTGTTTCCCAGTGGAAGACAATAACTCTGATTAGTTGTGCTCTGCTCTTAGACATTAATATGTCATGATGTTACTATCTAAATCAGGGGTGGGGAACCTTTTTCCTCTCAAGGGCTATTTCAATTTGTTCAACATCCTCCGAGGGCCGTACAAATGATTGACCTCTGCTTAAAAATACTAAATTGAACAAATTGAAATAGCCCTTGAGAGGAAAAAGGTTCCCCACCCCTGANTGATGAAGAAGACGAAGTAAGCTTGGTAGCCAATATAAGGCTTAGTCATCTTGCCAAATAGTGAGCCTGTGTTGATGTATGAAAACTATGTTAGAACTGGTTTATAAATGGTTCTTAAAGATTAATAAAGTGTTTACAACCTAATTCATAACCTAATTATAAACCCTTTATGAATCCCTTATAAGGGTAGTCTTATTGTAAAGTGGTACCGATGTATTTGTTTCGTAGATATTACTTATAATTTGCACATCAAAAATTACTCAACAATAATTTACTGTTGCATTGTTGTTAACTATCATTATTGTAATTATTATAAAATTATTTTTGAGAACATTTAAACCAGTATCATATTATAAAATTAACATAATAGGTCTACCATTGAGATAAAGTGTTAAAACCTTTTCTTACTGCCAGAGAAGATGCCTTGTAGATTAACTGTATGAGTCATCATACTTTAGCAGAAAGCAACACCTAATGGTTAACCCTAGGGCTGCTCAATTAATCGTATTTTAATCGCGATTACGATTGTGGCTTGCAATGATTACGAAAAAAACGTAATCGAAATAAAACGATTTTTTTTTAATTATTACTTTTTTTTGGGGTTTTTCAGTTGAATTATACTTAAAGTTCAGGGTAATCAACTGTTAAAAACATACTGTTCACGTTTTTTTCTCCAATAAATTGATGTTTTCAAAATCAATGAATAATCGCATTTAATAATCGCGATTACAATTATTGACCCAAAGAATCGAGATTATGATTTTTGCCATAATCGAGCAGCCCTAGATAACCCTCAATAAAGACAACAATGACTTTAAAACAGATATGAGCAACAATCACTGTCAAAATCTTTATTTCAAGATATGAGCTTTAGTAGGTTTTGCCACTCTCATGTATAAACTTCTTGATGTTGGTGTCGATCCAGTCGCTGAAGGCGGACACGCGGGTGAACACTGAGGGCTTTTTGTCCTTGATGCAGCCCTGAGGTCCGAAGCTGACGATGCCATGCACCTCCCAGGGTGTCGTTCCAGAGTCTGAGCAGGCGAAAGGACCTCCAGAGTCGCCCTATGGGAGAGCAGGACAGGTAAGTCACTAAAGATTAACTGCACTGCTGAGAAGATGCATTGCTGAACATTTGATTTTGACAACTTCTATAAATCATCTCTGTGCCCTGGAAGTGGTAAAGGTTAAACTTTTATCAAAATATGACAGAGTTTTCTTCAGGGAGGCAAATGTCAGTGTTGTGTTTTATAAAGCTCTTTTGAAATGAAAAAGCCGTCAGATCTGTGCTGACGTGTTTTTTTCCCATGTCCCTACGTGAACATTCGCTCATTATCGCAAACAAATAATGTCCAATTACGGCTGAATACCAGGCAGACATTTACGATCAAGGCTGACTGACCAAAAACAAAACAGTTTAAAGGGCGTTACACAACAGACGACCCAACCAGGACCAGGCCAGGACATTTATATAACGTGTATCCTCTCACCTGGCAGGCTGACTTGAGCTCATCTGGGGATTCGTAGCCAGCGCAGATCATGGAGGGTCTGAGGGAATCCCACCAGTAAGCAGGTTTACTGCAGGTCTGGAAGTCCACAATAGGAAGGGCTGCCTGATTCAGCTTGTCGGACACTTTGGGGAACATGTTACCTGAGAGATTGAAGTGAACAGTCAAAGTCTGTTAATTAATCAATCGAATTTTTTTACATTTCCCAATATCATAAATATACATCTGTCTCAGGTGGCTTTAGAAACTGTACAACATACAACAAGCTCTGTCCTTAGACTAAGGAAAAACTCCCTAGAAGAAATCCTTCAATAATCGGTTGGAAAAAAGGAAGAAAAACTCAGGGGACAGCATCTGAGGAGGGATCCCTCTAACATGGACGGACAGATGTGCAGCAGATGTTTTATACAGAATATACAACGTAATACAATTTCAACATGGACAATATGTTGTTGTAGAGCAAGGGTCTCAAACTCAAGACCCGGGGGCCAAATCCGGCCCGTGACTTTATTTTATGTGGCCCAGCAAGAGCTTGCAAAGAATATAATACGTTCATTATACGGTTACATGCCACTTTACAGAAGCAGGTTGCCCATAAACTACATGTCCCACAATGCATCTCGTTTTGTGACATGGGTACACTGAAGAGACTTGCAATTATTTGCCCTGGACTTCTGCTTTCAGACATAGTTAATTACTAAGTTATTTTCCTATCCGATATTAATCCAATTCAGAGGTAATAATGTAATATAATACATTATTTGCTAATATATATATTATATATTTATATAGTTAAAACCGGCCCTTTGAGTGCAACGTTTATGCGAATGTGGCCCGCGATGAAATTGAGTTTGACACCCCTGTGGTAGAGGGTATGAACAAAGATGATCACATTTACAAAAACACCCAATTATCTATTTCTTCAGTAATCAAACCAATGTCTCAGTAGATAGTAGTAAATAAGACCATCACTGCTGGCAGATGCCGAAATCTAGCTTATTGTTGTGCTTATATCACTCCTCAATTATAGACAGTGGGTTGGGTTTCTACAACAAAGCACATTGCCCATTAAAATACAAACTTTAAAAGGTTTGAAGCGTATGTATTTTCATTATTCTTGCTGTTCTGATTGTGTATGCCCATGGTTGATTGCAGTCATTGTTTTGGATAAAAAAGTCAGCTAAATCATCACTTTGTACCTTTCTCGTCGCCCCAGCCGGTGACATAGCAGGGCGTCCCAGCGGGCATCACAGCCCCGGGTTTGGGCAGACAGACTGGGCTGATCTCCTTCGTCATGTTCACAGCCGTGGCCAAATGCACCAGGGCGATGTCGTTGGAGATGTCGGTGCGATCCTGCTCGTACACGAATCCCTCGTGGCGGATGATACCGTCCACCTTAAAGCATTCCTCTGCTGAGGGGACGTCCATGGAGGAGTTCATGTGGTGCTTCCCCAAACACATGCGCCAGTACGAGGGGTTGGTCAGTGGGCTGGGAAGCAGGTGGAAAATTCAAAGTGAAATTTAGAACTTGGTTTATTTTTCACTTTGCTATTGCAAGCTGGTAGGCAGAGGTGGAAGACGTATTTAGACCTTTAATTAAGTAAACACACTTATACAAGACTGTACAAATATTCACTTTCAAGTCAAAGTTCTGCATTGAAAATGTTATAACTATACTAACTTTATCAAGCAAAATTGAGATACATGTTAAGTTGCTTATGTCAAGTTAAGTTCAAGTTTGAAGTAATGTATGTAGTAAAGAAAGGTGCTTAAGTAATGCACAAGTACCTCAAATGTGCACTTAGGTACCTGCCTGAGTATAGGTTCCTAGTTACTTTACACAATGGCTGGTGGGTAAGATAACATTAGAAAAGGGTTTTTTACAGCTGTTGTGAACACACTGACATCGCATTAGTGGTGTTTGTGTGAAGTTGTGATCCAACAGATGCTCATTAACACATCCAGGAGTAAAGGAGCAAATATATTTTATTTGGACTCTCTTGCAGATCTGGTCTCCCCCAACTTCTGTAGGAAATATCTGACTCTTTTTCTTTAAATTCTTTGTCCGCCAGCTAGTCCCAAGCTTTATCTGTTTAACAGTTGGTGCCGAGTAGGTTTTCAAAGCTCGCGAACGATCCGATTCTTTTGAACGGCGCTTTGGTACGAACGAAGGGAACCGAGTCCTACTTGGTGAGAGCCGTTCTTTTTATCGTTGGTTCACTGCCTGCCATAAATCCACTCGCTTTTAAAGGAACTTGCTTTCCTGAGTGCCGTAGGATGGCATAACGCATGCTGCTTGAGTAGTAGTTTGGCTGGCTGGGATGTAGCAAGTTATACATTTTCTGTGAGTAAAAGTAGATTTCTGGCAATACAGTCAATCATTATCCTGGTGATTATTTCGCAGATAAACCTATTAACCCCGCCCCCTTAAAAAAAAAAGGCTCTTTTGAACAGCTTTCGGAAAGGATCGGAGCCATAAGACCCGGCTCCCTTCAAAGCTCCGTAATTCCCATCACTAAATGAGGACAGAATTATTTTTTTCCAAGCCTAAAAATAAGATTGAAGCATTGTTGTCGGACAGAAAGATTAACAATTAGCTGAAAATATATACATCTATGTTGAGCATGTTAGCAATGATTATGGTTGCACTATTAAAATGTACTGTAGGTGATTCTGTAGTTTCATCTTACAACATGAAACAGTGAGCAGCAGTCAGGATCCAATCTTCATGAATCAAAGAACCTCCGCAGCCGTGCATGTAAGGTATGAGGGACATTGGTGAAGCCTGGGGAAGAGAAATACACTTCTTTCAAATGAAAAGCTCTTCTCAATGACTGTTAGTCAGGCACAAAGAGAAACAGGAGATGTCAACATTACCTGCATGGAGACTTGCCAGGGCCAGGAGTGGGGGGTCGCCTCCACCCCATTTACCACCCTCATGGCGGCTGATTTGGGTTTCACTGCTGGCTTTCCACATTCTACTGGCCAGGCTGGGAGGAGAACATATATGATTACATTATCTATAAATAAGATATCATCTTTTATGATTTATTCAACATGTATTTAGGTGAAGTCAGCATCAGACCCGGTTAAAACTTTAAAATCAGAAATGAGATGATCCAGTATTCAATATGTTTATTTTATTATTCACTAAGTTGCATTTTTTAAACTCTGATCCGCCACATGACATCACAACACCCATCAGAGACAGGGCTGCTGGGAGTCCACACTCACTGATAGTGATGTTGTCCCATGGGTTAGGAGGTGTAGGAGGTAAAGTCGGGATAACACCGGCATCATTGGTCCAGTAACCACGAAAACCTTTCTGATGATCCGCTCCGTTACTAAGGAAACGAATGACGACTGATCCTCCCGGTATGGTGAGGGTCGATGGAGGGGCAAAGCCACAGAATCGACCTGCAGAATGTACAAGACATTGAGAGCTTTTTCCCCATTAAGCAGGCATTGATACTGATATTAAATTGACAAAAGAGAGTTTGGAGTGCAGTAACCAACCTAATGAGGCCATGGTTTCTCCGTTGAAGACCTCCACGTAGTCCACACAGTTTCCTAAGATGTTTGCAGCTTGAAGCTCAAAGTGCGTGAAGCCAATACGGATACTTTTTGCTGCAGGAATGGTGATACGCCACGTGCACACAGACTGGGCTTGGTAGTCATTAGGCCAGTTAGGAGAGGTGATTTCACCCTGAGCCGTGTTGAAGCTCCCTCCACAAGGAGCTGTGTGGGAGAGAATAAAGGAGAGGAGATGGGATGCATTAGTTGTGTCTGGAGGTTATTCCCTCAGCGTCTTGTCAGCTGCACTTCCTTCCCGTCTTACCCGCCGTGGGGGAAACTCCCCTCCAGGTGGCCGTGAAGCCGGTGTCCACCACCTTGTCGTTGGAGGAGAAGCTGATGTGAAGCTTGTTTCCATCACTCACCAGGTCTGTCGGGGGAACATGACTGCAGTGTGTGCCTGAGGAGAAATGAACATGAAGAAGTGTTTGAATGACTTTTCTAAGGAGCCTCTGTCCTAAAAGCTTAAGTATATTTTAAACATATTCTTGCTAACCTATTGCTTCTTTCTCCAATCATATGTCCCTTTTTAAGATATACATGCACTTTTACATTTATACAGCACTTTACTAAAATATGAAGGGAAACACACAACCATTCCAGAGAGGTGAAGGCAAACGTTAGGGGAAAAAAGAACTGGGACGCCAATGCATTCATTTATTTCAACCCTTTAAGCCATTTTTCGTTTCTTTCTTCAGTATATTAGATATTGGGAGGATTGAAAGACGAAAGGCAGCCTTAATTCACAGGTTCAAGACCGGCCAATGGTTCTTTATGCTTTTCCGTCAAACAAAATGTCATACATGTAGATTTACTCAAATGGCAAAGACATCTTGTTGCTACAAGTTTTTGCAGTTTTGGCAGCATTGGATGGTCCATAGATCCACCACATTGATCCAGACTAAAGTATCTTTATCTGATGAATTGTCGTAACATTTCGTAGAGACATTCAGGGTCCCATAATGATGCCACCAACGCCGCTAGATTTGGTGTTGAGATGTCTTTTATTGAACAAAGGCTATGCATACATTCATCTCAAAAAGAGTAGAGATTATATATGCCATATTTGAGCTAATAGTTCATTTCCATGTGCCGTCCTTGGGCATGTACTGTACGTGCATAACAATCAACAAACCCCGAAAAACATCACTTTGTGTAGTATATTAGAGTATCACACTAACAATTATAAAACGGATCAAAGTACTGATCTGTAAAATATAAATACATTTATCAGTACAACTGGAGGGAGGGTGCGGCTGAGTGGGTTAGTGCGCTGATCCTCGAATCAGATGATAGCAAGTTCGAGTCTCACTGTAGTCAGCATTTCGTTGTGTCCCTGGGCAAGACACTTCCCCCCAAATTGCTCCTTTGGAATGTTTGCATGCCCCTGCTGAATGTATGTAAGTCACTTTGGATAAAAGCATCTAACAAGTGACATGTAATGTAACTATAATACTATATTCATTTCAAATAAAAACGCAAAATAAATAACTTTAAAACCCATTGACTGCTGTGTAACTTAAAGCAAAGGAATCCAATGAATGACTCAGTCCCATCACCTGTGGAGAAGACGTATTTACTTACCCAGACTTCCTACTCCGTCTCTGATGCTGACTTTGTCATTCAGGCACAGCTGAGTCTCCTCCAGGGAGAAGTTGCTGAAATGCAGGTGGACCAGTTGGCCTTCGGGCACCTGGATGGTCCACTCGCAGCGGGCTTTGTTGTCATAGTTGCCAGGGAAACCCATCGAGGACACGGTGCCGTCGGTGCCAATCAGGTCTTTTGGTCCTCCACAGCCAGATGCTACATGGGGAGGACAGAAGGTGAAACTCAGTAATAAAATGTGCCTTTGTACCATGTGAAGTTTGTGATGAAAGTTGGTCAGCTGAATCCTTACTGTGCTGATTGTATAAGTCTCTACGGATGACATTTTGGATCCAGGGGATGTATGCAGAGGAGCGGGTGAACACGGAGGGCTTCTTATTCATTATACATCCAATAGGGCCAAAGCTGGTGATACCATGAACTTCCCAGGGAGCACCGGCGTGGTCCTGACACACCAGAGGACCTCCAGAATCTCCCTGTCAATGTCACAAATCAGCATCCTAAACACCTTAAGCTTTTTGTTAAATATCATGTGTGCAAGAACTGTCAACTCATTGAGGATCAGAATTATGTAAATCCTGTTATTCTTGTGTTTTAAACCTGTGCTATTTTATTTGGTTTATTTATTTGTATTCTCTGATTCTCTTTTTAAATGTATCTAATTGTCTTTTTATATTTTATTTCTTTTTTCTTGTCTTTATGATTTTATGTTGTAAAGAACTTGCCTTGTTTTTCAAATGTGCTATATAATTAAACTTTACTTTTAGTGTCTTTATATGTTATTTTTACTGGTTGACAGTGCTTTTGTAATTGAGTGCTCTCCTTCTATCCTAACTTTGTCCATGTTTGTAAAGCAATTTGTTACAGTAGTTTTGAAAGGTGCTATATAAAAAGTATTATTATATCAGATATTAGTGCTGATCTCTTGTAGGATTTATGTTACCTGACAGACAGACTGGAGCTCATCAGGCAGGGTGTACCCGCAGCAGATCATGGAGGTCTTGACCTGGAACCACCAGTAGTCCATCCTCTTGCAGGTATCATACGGCACAACAGGCAGGGCCACCTGGTTAAGAGCCTCAGCAACTTTAGCATTCATTGAATCACCTGAATATCACACAAAACCATTTAGATTGTTACAAAAGAAAACATGAAACACTAAGGACACACGAGAGGTATTTGCACATTAGGTCCAGCAGAGGGCATGCAAACTATGCAACTATAGTTATATGTTTTAACTTAAAGGTGACCTATCATGCAAAATGCACTTTTGTACGTCTTTTATACATGAATATGTGTCCCCGGTGTTCCAGGGAACTCACCAAGTGTCAGAAAACACAACCCTCTCTATTTTCCTCCATACCCAAATCTCTTAAAAAGGGGCTGCAACGAATNCACTGAGTTGATTCCCCCCCCCCCATCCATCTTGATGTTTCTTGACATCTCTTTACGACCATTTATTTATGAGTTACTAACATTTATAACTGCCAAAAGGGAGCCTTATTGTAAAGTATTAAACACATTCCCATTTATTAATGAGTTACTACCATTTCTAATAAGGCTTAGCAGTACAGGGCGACTGTGGCTGTGAGGGAGTGTGGTCGTCTTTCAACCAGAAGGTTGTGGGTTCAACTGCGGACAAACAAATCTGGCCGACTTCCTTACAAGAGCCCCTCCTCCAAACACACGACGAAACGTGCACCGATGAGCCCAAGTGAGGGCACGGAGATGAAGTTTGTGCACAGATTGGAAGCTGACAGGGCAGGTAGGCCATCCAGTGTACGTTGTACCCGGGCCGCTCAAGATGACTTGGTCGTGCTTTTTCACAGGCGCTACGGCTTCCACAGATTGACATTTTTGTTATGTATTTTTGTCCCAAAAGGATTTATATATTATCATTGCATATAGGAATGGTAAGACGCATGTCCAGTGAATGAGTAAAAAAAGGCGATGTCTGAAAAATTACAGTAGCCGCCGAGGCGCTTTAAGACCGACGATACGATGTATGTGCGAGCTGCATATGCTAAGTATTCGGAGTACCGCAGTCTGATCTGGCGATATTGCAAGATCCGATTAGGTCAGCCATATCCATGTCCGTCTTCCCTGTCCTGGCGTAAAAAAATGTATTTGGCACTATGGAAGAGTTATGTTGAAGAACCTTGGAAAGAGGAGATGGCATTGTTTTTTGTGTACGTTTCCATTTGCATATTGTATACATGGTCTTAACGTAACTTCCGTTTTATATGACGACCCCATCTTGTTCGGAGGGATATGCTAGTAATAATAAAAGTATCGGATACTTGGTCATCCGTTTATCGAACCGAATATCGGCCATCGGCAAAGTTATTGCGATTACTACTGGCTGTATTGGATTACTTTCCCCCACCCTTACTAAGGCCTTTATTATTGGCTAGCTTAGCGAGGAATCACTCGCGTGAACCAGACAGATACCTCAAGGGATGGCTGGCTGATGAAAAGAGACCGAGAGTACGGTAAAGCCAATATAAGGCTTAGCAGTACAGATAAATGTGGGCTCACTATTTGGCAAGCAACCGGTCACAGTTTCCCTGTTTATCTCATGTCTTATAAAAGCTTATTAATGATTTATAAAGTGTTCACAACCTAATTAATAAATGAATTACAAACTATTCGTAAACCCTTTATAAGGGTACTCTTATTGTAAAGTGGTATCAATACATCTATGGTAATCATTGCATAATTTTGTGTTCTTAAGACTATTTAAAACAATACAAACATATTTTTATATTAACTATTTTTAATATTTGATGCTGTTACAGTTTGACATCAGCTTAACTTTATTCCTCCCTGAGGCCGTCCCCTCAGTTCTTACAAGCTCCCTCCTCTTTTCTTCCCTCACGTTCAGGCAGAGGAATCCTGCAGGCACAGATTTTAAGTTTTGGGTTTTAACCCCCTATCACATGACCACGCCACTCGGCCAATAGGAGAGCTCGGCTCAGATTTCAGTCTAGGAGGAGAGAGGGAGAGAAAGAGTCTAATCTGTGCTCATGGACTGGACAGAATACAGCCTGCCGGTTTTGACAGTACTTTTCTACTCTCTTTCCTGCTGTGGATTATCTGTGTTGTGTTTTTGGAGTATTCAGATGGCATGTTTTACGGTTAAAGGGATTCCCACCACTGGGAAAAGTCCAAGAGTGTGTCCTGGAACAGAGTGAAGGGAGGAGGAGGGAAGAAAGCAGCAGTTTCTCCCCTCATCTTTGCCTCCGCAGGCGTTTCTTCTGTGGAAGAATGGGGGCAGGAGCTCTGACCATCTGTGTGAGTAACTACAGAGCCTGAGTGGGCTCAAAGACTACCCTTTCAACCTGTGATTAAGGGCTAGAGAATGCATAACGGGACTGTGTGGTTCAGTTTCAGTCTGCACTTTCTTCTGTGATGGTGGTTAATGTTCTGTTAGACACAAGGGGCTTTTTTTAAAAGGACAGGCAGGGACACATCTCTTCTCCTCAAACCAAAACAAAGGTGTTCCCTCCCTAAATTAAACTTTGTTCACTTAATAAGTGACTGCTGTGATCAAGAGGAATACCTTCACCTTCCGTCTTAACAGAGAATGCAGTGTCCTTGCCAGACAGCACTGTTTATATAGGACATACTTGTACAACACTATAGCAGTGCATAAAACATAGGGATAAATACATGTACAAGTTTTTTCCAGTGCCTCAGTTAGGTCATTTTTCACAACGTTTCTTAATGGAAAACGTTTTATTTTTTAGAACTTAACTTTCAAAACACTACTCTACTTTACACTTTTTAAAACGGCAAGTCTCTGGCAATAGTTTCTCTGAGTCAAGCAGCTGTTTCCTCTGGTGCCTATGCTGCTTTTGCCACCAGTTGCTCCCATGGCCACCCACATAGGGAAAGAGAGTCAGAGACAAGGGGGAGGGAGAGGGAGAGGGTGGAGGGTCCGGGAAGGAGGGCACATGCTTGGGCTTGCTAACCTCTTCATGAGCGAGTTAAAGACGCAGGAAGAAGCCTTGCCTGTCAGAAGTTTGTTTGCGTTAAACCTCTTGAAAATGACTTGTTTACTCACGTAAACTGTTACTCACTCTGACACTTCTGAACAGGAGAAAGCAGACTTAAGAGTCAATAGCTTCCAGAGTGTCTTTATAGTCCCTTAACAATAGGTCTCTTTCTTTCTGTCGGAAGGTGAAGAGTGAAAATATTTTAAGGATGGGGGAGGGGGGAAGAGGATGAGGATTATTAGGCTAATTACTACATAGTGTCCTGGTAAACAAAAGGGGCAAACGGGGTACCGACAGGAAGTGATGTTAACTGCTTCTGTTCACACAGTCTCTATAGCTGTTTGTATGCTAAGAGACAGCTTCAAAAACCTTGAAATTGACTGTAAACATGTTTAATCATTGATATTAACTAAAGTGCTTAAAGGAGGGGGAGTGATAGCTCAGAATGAGGATCATGATGCTTTTATACGCTCAGTTTATATTTACCTTCCCACTGAAGTATGGGGACAAAAGCACAAGTAGGTGTTTGTAAAGGACCCTTAACAACCAAGGGTTTAAATGTGGTCAAACACTTCAGCGCAGCTTTTGTGTAGAGGAGGAGACACAGATACTGTTTGCATATAAGTCCGGTCATATCTCAATATATATTTAGATATTTTTTTGTTTTATGTTATTCTCATGTACCCATGTAAGCTGTTTCATATTTCTTCCGTGTGAATTATCTTCTCTTCCTTTGGAAATTGCCTTTGGAAGTTCTTGGATATCGTCAGGGCCGTTGATAACTTAATCATATAACCATTACCTTTGATATGATATTGGAGATTTACCTGAATTTACCTTTTTATTTTGAAAAGTTATCATCAGGTGCACTGTAAACACATTACTTGGTGTTGTTGTCTGTGTGTGTTTTTGTATGTGTGTGTAGGCCTGACAGATTTAGGGGACATATGTTCAGTGAGGTCTATCACAGTTAGACCTAGCTCAGACCGGCTTAACTCTGCGTGAGAAGTAGAACTATACAATTTGTCAGCCCTGATATCTAAGGACTTCATTACCTACAATGGAAACACATACAGTATACTATACAACTGTATTAACTTGTATTCTATAGTTGTGTATTGATTTTTTGAAATGCACTTACCTTTAACAAAGACTTCAAAGTCATTTGAGCTGTTATCGTGTTTAAAAAGTGGACACACAGACAGCCCAAGTAGTCCTTTCTGCTGCAACCCGGGTCTGCTTCCTTTGATGCATTTCATCCCCTCTCTCTCTCGGTCCTTACTTTCAGCTGTTCTATCAAAAGAAGGCAAACAAACCCGCATGAAATCTTAAAATGTTATATAAATCTTTTTTGTACCATACAGTTAAAAAATATTCCAATAGTTATAGATTTGTTGTGTATAAATACAATCATGGCTTTCTTATTTATACCTATGCGAACCTCTCATATATACATCCTGCTCAAATCTTCTCACGTCTAAAAAGCTAGTTTATGAAAATGTCAGTGCAGCTTAGCATACATAAGTGCTATATGTCAGGCAGTCATTGAAGCAGTAAGAGATAACATCCAAGTGTACTTAATCGCCCATTCACATTCATCAGGAAGGTGCAGATGACATAATAATAGAATAAAGTGGATGACTGAGCTCCATTAACACATTGTCTGCACAAGCTTGTCAGATGTATTAACGATGCCCGAGCATCTGTCATGGTAAAGATCTTCTCCTCAGCCATCTCTGCACCATCTGTGAGGTGGGTTTTAATCAGCTGATTGGAGTTTGGCACATGCTCGGACCCCTTCTGTCTAAACAATCGGCCTCATGGGAAATAAACTCAGTGCTTCTTCTTTTTCATCGCCCAACACAGTCAATCTCATTGTGACAAAATCATAGCCCGGGCCTCTCATCTCACTGTGGGTCACTTCACACGTTTGAAGCAGTGAACTCTGGAACAATGTCACATGATGTAGTCGTAGCTATGGATACAACAGTAAAACTGTTGCTCGGAAGTCTTTTCCTGCTCGCACATTGCCCGTAACCTACGTGTGGTCTGTGTGTCCTAACTATTTTTCCCTAGCAATAATTAAACAAAGACAGAGATGCATCATAACGGAGTTAAATGAGCAAAACAAATAATTAACCTGCTCTTTTTAATGTTGGCTCGTTTAGTGGAGATTGTTTGAGCACTCAGTGTTTACACAGGATGTGCATTAGAGAAAGCATGTGGCACTGTTTGCCTTGATTGATAAGACATATTTAACAGCTGGTGCATTAACACACTAAATAAATACAAACTGGTTTCTACACCAGAAAAATGGGCTTATATTGGCAATTATAGAAAAGCAGTGGGGGAAGTAGATTTACTCAACCACTGTACCCATGTACAATTTGTATATACCGTTACTTTACTTACAGTACATTTTAACTTCTTCACTAATTTCTAGAGGTACATTTTTTTTTTTACTCCACTTCATTTAACATGACAGCCTAAATAATTTGGATTATATTTTTACTTCAAATGGAAATATATGAAGAGTTTATAAAATGTGTTGAATGATGTATATAAAACTACAATTCCTAAAAGAAACACTCTGTTTTTCTCAGAAAACGTTCCATTACATCCCTTTTTCTGAAAATATTTATGGTCAAAATGTAGGAATTTGGACAAACAACTCTCCCAGCTCTCACTATATAATATATCCATTCAAATGAATGTTTCTACCTCAGCTGAACATATACGTCTACATTTGCGTACATATGTCTATTCATCCGTGTGTGTCACTCTGACAATGCCTTTCACCCAAGGTGTTGCGTAGTAACCTGACATTTGTCGTAGCAACACATCCACGTCCAGCCCTCCCCTCTCCTCCCAGCGCTCAGCACACTCTGTCCTCTAAGTGGAGGAAAGCATGACACTGCATGTATGGACTCCACAGAGACACCGGCAGCATCATGACACATCTTTTAGTCTGAGCCTCCCCGTGCAGGACAGATGTCTCTAACCTTATGCCGGCCGCAGCGCTGCACTCTCTGCCAGTACTAGTGTCGGTGGCTGACTGCTGCTCTCTGCTCTTCTCCCTGCAGCACAACAAGACAGCAGCGCTGGTTAAAGAAGACATGAAGAAGATGGTCAACATACCCATCCTGAGACCCAGGACAGTGACAGCCATGCACACCAGGCTGTTTGGAGTGTCCCTGCTGGAGCTGCAGGAGAAGGGCCTGGTGGAGGACGGTGTGCCTTTGGTGATGCGGAGGATGGTGAAGCATCTCAGCACACATGGTGAGGAAAAATTGAAAAAAGCGAAAAAATAATTGTAATGTTTGATGACCCTCTTTAAAAAACTAATCATTCTTATTCTAACATTTAGTTTCACATACAGAATTGCACAGATATAAATAGTATAAATAAAGAAATCATATACGTTTGGGAAGTTGGGACATCATGTGTTCCTCCAAACAAGGCAATATATTGTTAAACTAGGATTTTAAAACCTTGATCAGATCTAACAAGCATGATAAGAATACAGCAGAGATATTAGCATTTGGCTTTTTGTATTATGTGTGATATTATAGTAGATGCAGTTAAGCAATGACCAAAGATACACACACAAAGAACAATGCAATACTAAATAAAAATACATAGAAAAGGGCACGAAAAGTAAAAAATATTTTAATAAGAAAAAACACACAATATTTTTAAATCCACACCAAAGAAAAAATACAATACTACAAAAAAAACACAACGCAACAGAATACATATATTGAAAAATACCAAGTACAGTATACATCATTTTTGCTTTAAAAATAACTTGGAAGAACTTTATTTTGATCTACTTTATCATATTTCTTAGTTATTCAGTGTGACCACTAGACGTCAATTATAAGAAAGTGAAGTTCCCACTAAATGGCTGCTGAAAAGGTCAGGCCTCTTTTTTGACGTCCTCAGTACTCATTCGGTTATAAAGGTTATTCTCTTCATTCATGGAATAAAAACTATAACAAGGGTTATTTCTGGATGACGTTAAAATAATAACGAAGCACTTACCATGAGAAAATATCTCCTGTCCATCAGAGTTTGGGTTGGGTTGTGAGAAGTACACCCCTGATGTTGCTGTATCCGCCACAATAGCATGGAAGTGAATATAATTCAGTTTGCCTTGCTCAGAGCATTGAAAAAGTAGTAAAGAAGATATAATTAAAATGTAAACACATTCAAAGTAACTCAAAGTATCTCTTTTCAGAAACGGTGTCCATGTAACCATTCATCATCCACGGTCAGCTTTTTTAACAGGAACAATTTTTTGTAGAAAGTAGTTCCAAATCACTTCTTGAAATAATTAAATCAGGCGTTAATGTTTAAAATATTGACAATGTATCTTAACATGAACTAAAACGGATACTTTACAAGGTGAATAACTAAAACAATTATAAAACATGCACTCGTTTATCGATGAAGCAGTTTTGTTTCTAGAGACTTTTTCTCGAAAGTAGTTCCGAATGCGGATTGATTAGACGTTTTTTTTTAAACAACGTTGTTTTTAACGAACAGGAGAAGGGGTTATCTTCTAATATGAGCAAATGAAACCAAATATTAAGTAAAGTAAAGCGAGTTTTTCAGAAAAATGAATTAAAAGAGGTAAGTGCTGAAAAATACTGTTCTAGTAACATCTAGCGTTAGTTATGGAGTCCTACAACAACACTGACAAATGCGTGTCCAGTGAAGTAATTAGCTAACTAGCAAGGATAAATAACCCAACAGACTGAAGTCTGTGTTACAAATGTCAATATTACTATCACAATATCCTCGAGGTAAGGGTAAGGCTACCTAAATATAGCTAATATTATCTTGCCATTTCGCAATTTTTTAGAATCTTGACATATTCTCTCAGTTAGCCTTCTGTTCCTTCTGCTAATTGTGTTAAGCTACTGTAGTGATAGCTAAAAACATGTGCCGTTGTTGTGTTGTTGCGTTGACAACTAACGTCTCCTAATTTCGACACTACATTCCACAGTTAGTCTTTAACCATCCTGTCGTCAGAGGTGGAAGAAGTACTCAGATCTTGTACTTGAGTAAAAGTAAAAGTACCAGAGTGTAGGAATACTATGTTGCAGCAAAAAGTCCTGCAATGAAAATGTTATTTACAGGTAAAGTAAAAGTACAAAAGTATTAGCATCAAATATGCTTAAAAGTACCAAAAGTAAAAGTACGTATTATTATGGAAATTGGTCCATTTCAGTATAATATATATTGTATATATTTGAATTACAATTATTGATGCATTAATATGTGTATCAAAGCTTGTAAAGGTGCAGCTCATTTTAATTACTTTGTATGCAGCAGGGTAGCTATATACAGTCTATGCTTGTGACATGTACTCCAGGTGTAACTAAAGTCTTATTTAATTGCTTATTATACTTCACATTATTATTCCAAATCTGTAAAGTAACTTAAGGTACTAAATACATGTTGTGGATTAAAATGGCACTATATGCGTCTGATTTGTAGTGGGGTAGAAGTATAAAGTAACAACAAATTGAAATACTCAACTAAAGTACAAGTCCCTCAAGATTGTACTTAAGTATAGTACTTGAGTTAATGTACTCAGTTACTTAACACCACTGACTTTACCTGATATCGATAAATCTGTTATGTCAAGATAATAACATGTTGAGAATATACTTTGAAAAAGTCATAGTGTACAAGTAGAAACTGACCTGATGATGGAGCTAGAGGACACATTATTGCTTAAAAAGATCAGGAGGGCCAAAACATTTCTAATTTCAAAGGACCTCAGTCTTTAAACCAGTAGCAGGACAAAAACGAACCCCTTAATGACTGATATCAAAATAATAAAAAATCCTAAATGACATTTATTTTGAAACTCTCGATGGAAAACATGAAATAAGCCATATCTTTAAAGTGACAAGCTTCTTTAATTCAGCCCCTAATTAATCGTCCTGTTAAGTAAATACATAGGATGGTTCTTGAATGTCATAATATTAAATAACTGTTATTTCATTTTCTTTGATTTTTCTCCAGCCTTGAATCAAGAGGGTCTGTTCAGAGTGAATGGGAATGTGCGTGCTGTGGAGACCCTGAAACAGCGGCTGGAGAGTGGAGAGGATGTGGACCTTCTCTCTGAAGCCGACTCGTGTACGGTGGCCAGCTTGCTCAAACGATTCCTCCGGGACCTGCCTCAGGGTCTGGTCGACTCAACAGTCCAACAGGCGCTGATACAAAACCACCAAGGTAACAGAAAGTAGTTTCTGTGGTTCCCATTTCTTTCTTATGTGCGTCTCTTTACTGCACTGTTAGTGTACAGTTTTTATTATTATGCTGCTGTGTTTATTGTATTTTTGTAACTCTCGCACAACAACTTCCTTCAGGATAACTAAAGTCTTATCTTATCTTTGTCTGCTAGAATTATCATACTACCTCAAGTAGATCACTTTTTACATTGTTATACCATTTCTACCTCCCAAATCCACTATCTGATAAATACACCCTCACAAGTGTATTGAATTATATCTGGTTCATGGCTCTGATGGGATGATGATCAGAGCTATCTTTAGAGGCTGAAATATTCTATTTCCACTGCAGTCACCTGCACCAGACAGGGCATACAAAGGCACTGCAGAGTAAAGTGTGTGTGTGTGTGTGTGTGTGTGTGTGTGTGTGTGTGTGTGTGTGTGTGTGTGTGTGTGTGTGGACTGTGATTGACCTCATATATCTGGCAATAATCTAGGAGGCTATAAAAGTTATAAATGGAGGGATTTGGCATGTGAAGTGTCTCTGTTCACTCTCGGCTCTCCTCCATCACTGTGTTTCATCTGTTTAATGGCAGGAGAGAGCACATTTTGGCTGCAGTATTCTTTTCCTCTAATAGAGCCCCTAGATATCAACTTATTTTCCAGGGCCTGTGTCCAAATGCTGGATTAGATAATAGCTATTTGGTTCTAGACTTGGCCATAACTACTGAGTAAAAGGATTTTGGTGTACTTTGTCAAATTGATTTGGCCTCCTTGCCAGTATTTGTCAATATTAAAAACATCTAAAGTGTATGATGATAGACATATTAAGTTTCAGATTGATTAGCAATATAAAAAAATGCATACACATATATTTGTAACAATATAGTGCAACATCTCCTCAATCAAGTTAATAATGGCAGCCCTTTTTAATAAGGATAACGAGACTCAAGAGAGAATTAAAAAGTTTTTGAACATTCGCTCAAATTTGATAAAAAAAACAATATTTAAAAAGTAATTTATCCAGTGTAATCCCAAATTATATTTCCTTGTCACAGTGTGTTGAATGTGATACTTTTTTATATGTTTCATTTATATTTTTATAAATAAATTCTGGCCAGTTGAAATAAGACCATTTTGTATTCATTCATATTTGCATTATTTTAGTTTAAGGGTTAAAAGGTTGTTTAAATAGTTTCCAAGCCTCCTTAAAAAACACTGACGCTACCATGTACTTTACACACTTGTGCACACGTATACACACACAATCAACAGCAACAAGAGCAGTTGTGATCGCTTTAAGCCACTGCCCTCCCCTCACCAACCTGCTTTACTTTACTCAGACAGACTTACACACATTCTCACGTAAGCAAACGCTCGTTTGCGTCACTCATTCATTCTGGATCAGAAGCCATATCCGTTTATCCAACTCTGACCCAATTATGTGTCCGGGGTAATAGCATCAACATACTTTTAGGCTATTTGCTCACATAGTTATCAACACTCGAGAATACAGTATGTAATATCCATTAAAATTAGGGATGTCCCGATACCTTTTTTTGCTCCCGATCCGATTCCGATCATTTGATTTTGACAATTTGCCGATACCGATTTTTCCCGATCCGATCTTTATGCAATGCATTAAGAGAGAAAAAAGAAAAAAAGCATTCAAGTTGTCCCTTAAGGTTATTTTTTTTATTTAAATTGGATATTCTATCCAACATGGATATAGCTTCTTTTTTTCACAGCAGCATTGGATCAGTTCAGTTGTGCAGCATTGGATCAAAACAAAATAAAGCTTTCAGTACTCGTTAGCTTACTGCTACAATTAGACACTGCGCCCTGCCCACTCTGTTGCCAGATTTGAGAGAAATAAGCAACCAGGTCTATGAAAACAAGCCCCAAAGAAGCAACACATACATGATGTTGTGTAATTTGAAACCAAAACTAAGGCCTCAGGATGACTTTAAGACTTGAATATGGTCATTTTTGTTTTGTAACATTGAATACAAAAAAAATAAAAAGTATTTATTAAAAAAATAAAAAATCCCGATCCCCGATTTTTTTCTCCCGATTCCGATCTTTTGAAAATCACGTGATCGGCTCAGATCCCCGATCACGTGATCGGATCGGGACATCTCTACTGATTAGTATGATTTTATACA